TCTGGAGGAGGAAGGGGAATTTTTGGCAAGGAGAGGCAGAGCAGTTGGGAGCTTTATTCAGATTAAAGCATAGACGACCATTCATTATCAGTACAACACACATTAGCAACAGCATAGCATTGTGTTTCTACAGCTGGGACTTATTTTAGTGATTGTATTGCACTGTGTGTTACATGCAAACAACTGGGATCTGATCACAAAAAGCAACGCTAATGGCTTTCATTAAAAGATGGTGTTTCTGTAGGGGGAAGAAAGACTTGTCTTCAAAATGAACTGTTGTGGTAAAAATTGATAGGCAGCCTGTTTTTCTCCTCGCTATCCCATGTGCTACATATGTTCTGGAACAAGCACTCTTTCTGGAGAGAACCCCTTGGGGAAAGTAAAGAACAACAGGAATTATAATGTTCAAACTGTTGGTTGGATGCAGAAGGCTGAGCTAGTTCTATAGTGATGACACATGAAAAGCTAGAAGATTAGAAAACATAATCTTAGCTTTGGACCAGTCCTCTTCCCCCCCTATGAACTCCGGGCTATCTGTTGATTCAGTACTGGTTCCTTATGGATGTGGGACATGAGATGGCTGGGTGTTTTCTTAAGTCACTTACTGAATTTTAATGTGTTGGTTATGTGTTTGATATAGATTGAATAAACAGTTTGATATAGGTTGGAAATCACTACCCTTAAATTCCTTAAATTAAGTTCCTTAAATTGAGGTAACGTTTTCTTTTTTTTAAAGTTGCCTTCCTCAGCACTCACTCTAGGTCTGTTATCCAACAGTTGAAGGTGAATCATTGAAGTCTCTTACACATACTTAAGATGTGGTGAATCCGTGAAATCTCATGGGTCTTTATCACTTTTTATTTGTTTTCATCGCAGGCCTCCTACAATTATGTTCTGCTTTATTTCATATTCTTTGCGTTCTTCTTCCCTTTAGAATGCAGACCTTATGTTATAGATACACTTGTTAGTCTGAACTAAACATACTCGTTTAACACTTACATAAATAGTGGCAATGTGTAACCTGGAATACCTTCGATGACAACAGTCTGATGTCATAAAAAGTTTGATTTTTCTGTAAAAAATGATTCCAAAGTAAGAAGCAGTTGTAGTGAGTTCTTCAGTAGCCAGCAAAGAGTCGGAAAAGTTCAGAAAATGAGAGAAATATTTATCTTCCTATAAAAATTCACATTTTCAGCAATCACATTCCCTTCACTTTATGGGTTCAACTGATTATTTCATACCGCTCTCTAATTGCGTGTAAATTTCAATAGCTAACACATAAATTAGATTACAGGAGTTGGAGGATAGTAAATATTTAGCATTTACTTGCAATGGTCAAATCATTTTTCATTCTGTGTCAGTCACTGGAGTAGTAAATCAGAAAAAGGAACTTGGCAAATGTGGTTCACTTCATTCCTAGTTTTGAGTATTTGAGAACTATGTGAGCAAAGCTGTCAAGGAAGGAGACTAGGAAGCTTTATAACGTTATGCTCTTTTCATGTTTCTGTGGCCTGACTTGAGTAGCATATGTTTGAATGAGATCATGAGGCACAGTGAAGAGATTTAATGAACGTATAGTATGTAAAAGTGATGTGCGTGTTTGTCTTGGCACGTATATATTGTTCTTTCATATTGGAATATTAATGTTCTCTTCTGTGTAGACTACCCAGGAAGTCTGTAACAAATACAAAACATAGCTATCCACTGACTCAGTGATACTTTGTAACAAGTACTTAATCTACATATCTGTACTAGAAGCCATTGATGTATTTTGATGATGCACTTATGGTACAATGCTCCCCACCCCTTTTTTTGTTCCAAACCAGTGTTGATACATGCCAGGCACTGGTTTGTATTCTTGTTTCTGAAAATCTTTTGTGCAAATTCACCTTAAGAGTTTTTGTTTTCAGAACAATTTAAATTAAAAAAAGTTTTAAGGCAAGCACATACAAATAACAAATAACCTTTGTCAGTGCCCTTGTGCCTCTAGAGGATCTATTAATGGTGCAACTGCGTAGATCTGATAGTGATGTGGGTTTGGGGCCAGAACCATTAACGTTTCAACTTGGCTTTGTCAAGGGAAATAAATCTTGCCACGGTTCTTTCTGGTTTTTGACTTTAGCTCAAATTTGACATAGGATAGAGGCCTCAGAGATAATTAGGTCCCGTGAGTTTTCTGAGAATCATTGCCTGGATAGAGAGGAGACCCCTAGCAGTGACCTGAAATGGGAGGAAAAAGCTGCAGCAAGAAACCCCATGTTGCAAGACCACTGGAGAGTCCGCGTTGGAGAGTGTCTGTCTGAAGGCCCTACGAGTGGGAAAAGCCTCAGCTATAGCTTTCAGTCAACCATAAAACATAAATCCATAGGAAACCAAACTTCCTTAGTTTTTATTCTCAAGGAACTATTAATCAGTTGGTTATCAGAATATTCAGAATAGGTTATAATACAGTGTTGAAACTGTTAGAAAAGTGGAGCATAAACTCTGGTACTTTTTGCACCAGTGGGAAAAGTTTTGTAACCAAAAAAGAGTCTTGAGATAGATCAGAGTTCCGTGCATGGACAAGATTGTTTCCCTTTGAACGGAGCTGATGCCCCTGGGACCTGGGCTTTTTCACCTAGAAATACCTGGCAGAGAGGGTGTTGTTAATGGAAGATTTTTCAGCATCTCTCCTGTTTTGTTAACCTGACAAAGCCAGAGTAGGTTGACATCTGACTTCCCTTAAATGCGGTTACTAGAGAAGAAATCTTGAGCCAAAAATACTAGTTTGTTCACTCGTGGCTAATTGTTGGGGAAACGGTTATTAGTCTGTATGCGGTGTGTGTGCCCAGGCTTATAAAAATGAGACTTTGGCTAAATCCCACTGGCAGGCTTGCTTTCTATTTTGAAAATAAGTGTTTATAATTAGTTAACCTTGCAATTTGTTTCTCAAAAGATTAGTCAAACCTCTTTATTTTGGACATGATACAGTTTCAAAACATGCTGTATGAATTCTGACTTAACTATTGGATTTAAAGCCTTCAGCTTCACTTGACGCTTCCTGTTTCTTATAATGGGTGAAATTGTGCAAATAATTACATCTTTAGGGATCTTTCAAACAGTGGCCATCTATGTAAGCATCCATTTTACTCTTAAGTTTCTCACCACTAGATGACAGTTGGCTGATGAGCTGTAACCTGTTTCAGTTCTTGGGCTGAGTGGTGCATGTTGACAGCTCAGGCTGAGCATATTCTTGGTATAATAAAATCTTAACTGCAGAAGCATTTTTCTAAGTTTATCTTATTATCTGTTTCTGTAATGTACTCTAAGCTGGTATCAATTGTATGGGTAGGGTAGACTTTCAAATGCTGGGCACATGGAAGTTTTCAGTAGCTGTGGATTTTTATTACACCATTCTAAGGACCTTATTTGAATGTTTTGTGGAGTAGGCAATGATGTGACAGTCTGTTTCCTGTACATGCTTGAACTCCAGGTATCAGAAATACCTGAGATGTTTCGCTCTCTATAAGTCACGAATGGGTGTCCCTTTCTGTTTTACAGAGGACTAAAACTCATTACAGTTTTAAATAGGTTTTACAGTGCTGCATTCCTGTGGAAAGCAATTTCACTAAAATCAACATCTTTATGAACATAAAAATTGGGGAAGTAATCCAATTGATTTTTAGGACAATATGCAGCTTTGTGCTAGCGTGCAGAACGATGCAGGGTGGTGCCTTCTGCCCTGATCCTGGAAATCTCCATCAGAGTGCTCACGGACAACCTCTGCTCTACTTCTCATTTGGGCAGATGCTGTAAAAGAAACTGGAGAATGTGCAGCACTGCAGGATTGCTGTGAGGATGTTCTATGGAGAAAGCATGAGCAGTTTTGTCTGGTTTGAGGCGGTGTCTGTGGGATGCGGTTATTGGATGCACTTTTCTGTCCTTGCATTTCCTGGTAGTAATAAATACTGGCAATCTCATAGAAAAAAAATATCCACAGGGATCCTACAGTGAGGAGCCTTTTGCAGCATTGATCCCAACCAGATTCCTTTTCCTCCTTCCCTTCTTTTCCTTTTTGTGCTAGCTGTGGGAATTCATGCTTCACTCAATACGCAAGAATCCTTGTGTGTTATCAGTAAATATTTTAATGTTTCACAGGGGAGTCTGGTATTTCCTACTTACTAAACCTGTGATAATAGATAAGCATATGTAGTCGAACAGTGGTGTGTTTTGTGAGAAGTCTTCAATGTGTACCTTGGCATCCTTGTATCAAAGTTGTCCTTTTGACCTCTTATTTATTGATTTATTTTATTTTATTTCTTTATTACTTACTGTGTTCTCATAGAGATGGTTTTCCCCTTGGTATTTTTAGTTGACAAATACAAATGTTCCTCCCTTTTTATTGTAAACAAAAAAGACTGAAATAGTTACTAGCTTCTACAAATAAAACATTATCTTCAGGGCCATCAAACCTCTCACATTGGAAGTTAGTCTGCTCCACCCAAATGTTTTTCAGGTAAAAATGTTTATTTAGTCACCACTCAGGGGAACAGAAAAGCCTGAACTGCCTGATGCACTGTTTCTTATGGTCAAGGAAGCTTTTGCTGGTCTGTAGAACTGAACATAATATCCTGCTTGTGTAATGCCATTAATTTTTCTAGCACAATGTTTTGTGCCACTGTTTGCTGGGCTAGTTAGACATGGTCCAGTTCCCTCACTTGGTGTAAACACAGAGTTGGCAAAAGAATTGAGGGGGGGGAGAATTGTGTGTGAAACTATTGCCTGAGGATAGCACCACCATATCACTTGTACTGTAATCTACCTGAAGGTGAGCTGCCAAAAGAGGACCATTCTGGCTCAGCTTCTAGGGCTTATTTTACATGACAATATTAATGATGTAGGAGCACAATTCGTTCATGTTCAGTCATTTTGGACAGGATTTTCTGGAATGCTGGACAGGTAAAGTCATTTTTAAAGTTGGGAATCAGTGGCTTAATCTTGTATTTCTGTTTTTCTTGCAGTACTGTGTGCAAAAAACTTGGTGAAAAAGGATTTTTTCCGTAAGTAGCTGTTAAAGTTTTTGTATACAGGATATATATTCTGCAGGTTCTGTACATAAGTGTTTGCACGTGATCATTGTATTAAGATATCTGCATTAAGGGGGTGGGAGCTTTCAAGTTTTCACATCATTTTATTTTAGGGCTTCTGATTTTTTCTTAGGTGACAATTGTCACAGATTCATAATAATAATTAAAACCCTGACACACTCTCCCTGGTTTTGGTGGGAGTGGGAAACAAATTTGCTCTCTCAGGCAAATTACATGTTTTTCAATTACACATATTTATCAAAATGTCTTTCATACAAGAACTTTTTGTCCAGCAGACAGAGGTACATCTTAAATATTATGTCATAATACTTACCTCCTCTGACATTATGTTTTAATTAATTTTAATAATGTTTTGAAAGAAGTGCTAAGAGGTGGATGAAGGAGGCAGAAAGGAATGTTATTGGCTGTGTGAGCATGCACACACACATCACCTGCCTGCTGCCTCCCACTTGGGATCGGGCAAAATTCAGAACATCAGACCAGAATATGGAAAAGAACTTGAAGAAGGGATGATACAGATTTATATTGGAGTTTGTGATACTTCTAAAACTTGCTTTATATCTGGATTTTTGTACTGGTGTAAGTTTCCAGGTGTTTAACAGTTTAATATTACCTAAAAAACCCTCTCAAGATTTGGAATCTGTGATGCATTTCTGTACTGAAGCACAAATCACAAGGTCCTGTTCCTCCCCTTCCCCACATGCTTTTTTGGCTTCATCCCCACATGCTTTGTCTGACACTTGTCTTGAGCCACTGCTGCTTGACTGACTCCATCTGAGTCACCTGAGGAAGCGGAACTGGTGCAAAACTTGTGCTGCAGAAAGTGTGAATAATGTTTCACCACCTTAGTTCTTTCAGCTGACTCATTGGGCACTCGGGTAAGGAATTAGGATGAGGGGAAAAAAGGATAGGACCAAATGACTTAGGGGCATTAGTGTTGGGACCATCCCTTTTGGTGTCAGTTAATGGGTCGGTTAGAATAGCAGTTGCAGTCAAGCTCATTGTAGGCTGTTCTGGTCCTGCTTCTTTCCCTCCCTCAGTTGCCTAGTTTGTCACCATCTTTACACCAATTTTTGTTGAACCTGTGTTCCATGTTTCCAAGGTACTAAGGTGGCAGAAAAAGAAGTAGAAAGCAAAGTGGACCTCAAAAGCAAGAATAACCTGTTATAGGTGATTTTCTGTAGTACTAGTAACAACCCAAAATCATGATTTTAATTCATCTTAGAAACAAGAAGAGCATAAATCTGTTTTCTCTGCCTTTGTGTGCTGAGAATTTACTCAGTCCTAAATCACAAAGATTAAGGTGTTCAGACTGTTTTTTCCTTCATGCTTGACTTGCACAGCTTACTCTGTATCAGCAAAATAAGTTGCTAATTTAGTAATTTCCTGTGTTAATACGTTACATTATTCCCATTCATTAAACATGGCCCTCATTTAGGAATAAACGCAATTTCAAATAAAATATTTTACTTTTTTCGAAGTAGTGCAGTGATACGAGACTTTAAAGCATCCTGATCCATTTGCTAATTTTCTTCTTTTCCTCCTCTTAGGACTTCCTGATCCATTTGCTAAGGTTGTGGTGGACGGATCTGGCCAATGCCATTCTACAGATACTGTGAAGAATACACTTGATCCAAAATGGAATCAGCATTATGACCTGTAGGTGGTAACAGTGATAACCAAAGGTTTGAAGTGAAATCCTCTAAAGTACACAGAAATTGTCAGATATTCATAATAATGTCCTATTTACAGCTAGGAAAATATCCCAGTTTATTAAAAATTATTTATTAAAAATAATCCTTTCCCTCTCAAAATTTTCTTCATAGTAATTTAACCTTTATTATTGTCTTGCATGTTACTCATTACTCTGTGGAAATGTATTTCCATTGATAAACATCACTCACTTAGTCTTCAGTTCCTATTTAAAACAGCAGTAAAATATTAGATCTCTTTGATACAACAACTCACTGCCTGACGCATAAGGTAGCTTTTTACTGCAGTCTACCTGATGTCAGGTCTCAGGTTTTCATATGCACAAGATATTAAGATAATCAAATTTTATGGGGGGAAGAGGAATAAAATAAGCACCTGATGGCAGACCTCGTAGATTACAGAAGTTGGTCTTCTCATCAAACCTAGGAACCACTAGGGTTTTAAAGTTCTTAGTGTTTACCCTAACAACACACCATTGCATGGGAACTCTGGTCTCTGCCTTATGACGCTTCCACCGTTACAGGAAATGCTTTGCACACCAAGCATGACAGATGGAGTCTCAGTGGCAGTGTGCCTGCTCCTGCCATCACACAGCGTAGGAAAGCAACCAGAGGAAGGTGCAGTTATGTGAATTTTATTAAAAGAAAAATCCTGCTTGGTTTTTTCCTACCATGAAGATTTCTGTCAGCTTTTAAATAACTGACAGGCCTGTGTGCAGTAAAACTGTCTCTTGGTTGTGTGGGGCTGCTTGAAATGTCCCCCAGCCTGGAATTTGTACAGCAGGTTAACACTGCTGCTAATTAAGTGTCTCATGTATCATGTGATAACATATGCAAATGGCACACTATGATGGATCTGTTGTGATGTATTTATGCAATGATGTCTGAATGAAGTTGCTAATTCCAAAGGAATTTTGTGGTTTACTACCTTGATTCAGCATAATAGATAGTCTGTTGTATAAGATTTTTTTAAAGACTTCTGCAGTTACAAAGAACAAAAAAAGGTTTTGCTTTTGCCTTACGTGGTTCTGAGTTCAGATCGTAGTGTGAAAGGAAGCAGTTGAATTAGTTGCTCAGATTCTTCAGCCTAGATGGGTGTGTGAAGGGGAGTGGGAATCTGGGAGGCTTTCCAGAAAGAAATTGCCAAATAGTTGCTGTCTGGATGCAGTTTAATGTCAGAATACCATGCTTGCCCTGGATGTATTCCCCTTCCTTATTTTCAGTCCTGTTTGTGTTTTCCCTGTTGTTCAGGCTTTTCCTCAAAGCTCTGGATAACCAGACTTAACACATTTACAGACTTTCTCATGTTCAGAGCATTTAAACACTACCTAACCGTCAGTTCTGAAACTTAATAGGTACCTTTTTTCTCTTCTTTCCCTTTCCTTTTGTTCTGATATCCTAGATCTGCTTCAGCCTTCCCAGGCTTACCTATGCCCTCAGGCCTACTCGGGTCCTCCCCAGCACCCTCTGCCCTTAAGGCACAGCAAGTCATTTGGTCTATTTATTTTTAAAAGATGTTTGTACCATGAGCTCCACCAAAACCTGGTCCTGGTCCTGTCTTGACTCTGTGCCCTTCAGATCTGCACCCCACGCTCTGGCATTTCCTGCTGTGTTATACCTCTCACACATAATCTCACGCAACTCCTATAACTCCTCCTCTTCCCAGAATCTCACTGCAGGTTCTAGTGCTGCTTGGTACCTTCACATTCTCAAGTCCCTGTGCTGCCCTGGCAGAATCACCTTTCTCCCCTAACCTTCCAGCTCTACGTTGCCTAGCTTTGCTAATGATCCTGGATTTTTCTCAGGGAGAGGAGGCAACAGCTCTGCTTAGTGCTGGATTAGACAATCCCATCCTAGATTTGACTCTTAAATTGCTGTCAGGCAGCTCTTTGCAACAGCTTTGCCTTCTTGACATGATTGTTTAAACCAGTTTGATGATGCCCTTTGCATTTAGGTTGAAAGCATTACTGGGTTATGTTTGTAGATCTGGCCATGCCAGCTCAAGCACATCGGACATACAAGTCTCTCCTGAACTTCTTAGGTGGGTCTGTTAGGAGCATCTGGTGTAGAAGCCTGCTTTGCTTGCCATTTGCTTGATGCAGCTGCTTTTACAGTGTCTTGTAGGCCCAGCTCAGCATTGGACTGTGTAGCACTGGAGAAAGGAGCAGCCAGTCAGTGCCACATGTCTATGCTGTGTTCCTGTCCAAGCCACACCTCTGGCTGGTTCTCTTGTGACTGTCCAAATGCTCCAGCACTCTTCAGTTGCTACCAGAGATGAGAGCCATGGCAGGGTGAAGGAAGAGAAAGAAGAGAAAAAAATTGGGGTGGTATTTTTTGTTGTCTCTTCACACCCTCTTCCCCTTCAGACTGAAGAGCTCATCTCTCAAAGCATAACCGTTATATTATAAACCTTCAGAAATGGGAGTATGTAGAAACAAATGAAGTAATTTGCCCAGGTTGTGAAGAGAGTCTGTGGGACAGCATGGGTTAGAAATAGGGAATTCCTGGCATCCAAGCCTGCGTTCATACCTCTTGATGTTGCATTTTTCTCTCTTTCTGGAGGGAGTACATCTGGCTTGGGATCAAGAAGAGGTGTGTTTTTTCAGGAATATTTTTTTCCACTTTCTTCATTCCACTTTTCTTGTATATAATGCATGTATAATGCCATGGGGATGAAAAGTCACTCGATATCAAACCTTCCTGAGTGGTACATTGGCTCAGGAGGAAATACCACCTTGGCAAAGATAATTTTAGTTAGACAAAGTACCAGTTGTCTCTATGCTTTAAATTTTGATTGAAGTTTTAGGGGGTTCCCGTATGGCATGTACTTGATTCTTGTTTAAAAGTGCTAAGAGTGCTAATTTTCCTTAAGATTTCCAAACACACAGTTCTTATTCAAAGTCAAATGTTATAGATTCAGGATATATGTGAGTTCAAAAAACACATATGGAAATGGAATTTCCAGGTTTCCATTTCATTAATCCAGTTCCTGTTATCTCTGAAGTAACAAAGCTGTGAAATAGACATTGCTGATAGGGTTGAGTAAAAGAAAAAGCTCCAAGAACTTTAATTGTGAGGAGGAATTATGAGAGAGCATCCATCAGAATGAGGGGGATGTGATTTTTGTTTCTGTTTGGTTTCTTTTTTCTAAACTCATTTTATTTTTTGGAACATTCTTTTTTAATAACAAACACAATTCCTAGTGCAGGCTTTTATGTTGGAGCTTTATTGCCAGATGATGTAAAACAAATGTAACTTCTCCAGCGAATGAATTGAAAATGACAGCTTGTCCTACCGTCACTCTTGAAATGCAACCATGTATTTTCATGCCTGAAATTATGCAGATGAAACATGCTGCTATAAAGCCAACCAGCAGTTACTGAGCTATTTCTTTTCTTCCTTTGGAAAAAAACCCCAAGACATCTTTATTTGGAAAATGTAGCTTGTCTTCCTTATTTCTTTTAAATGCATGAACCAGTCAGGTTTTCTGGTGCAAAAATCATAGCAGCTTATAGTAGTCATATAGAAGTCCTCACCTGTTTGGTATGGATGGCTTACTGTCTGCATCTCAACCATGAGAACCTCACCCTGAAATGTTACAGTAATTCTTGGAAACTGTGTTGTATATTCAGCTGTTCTGCATATTATTCAGATTGTTCTGTTATGAAATTGTGTTTAACCATATACCTTTGACTTTTTTAAAGCAACAAGGAAAACTGGAAAATTCAAGACAGGTCATAAGTCTTTATTTTTAAGTGCACCTAACTTGTTCTCATAAGAATTTATTTTAATTACATAAAACATTGTAGACTGCGACTGTGCACGTGAATTCCCATCTTCATCTTTCGTTTCTTTATGCAAAACTGGCATTGTCAAGGTTGTAAGGCCAAAAATCTGACCTATATAATGCAATCAGTCTACTGTTACAAAACTTGGGGGGGTGGGGTGTGATGTTTGTGGTTTGCTTGGGTTTGTTTTACATGTGCACTGGTTATTTTAAACTATGCTCATGGGTATGTGCCTACAGTTAGGCTTTTCTCTCTTCTTGGGTCAGTCCCTGTCTGCAGGTGGGAAAAAGAAGCTAAGTTCTGCTTTTTGAAACAGGAAAAAGGGGAGAAGTGTTAATTGAGAACTTACCTCATCACAGCTGCAATTTTAAACCATGAGAGTTAGTTCACTTGTTTGGTTTGCCAACCTTGACAGTATCATTTCTATCTTTATGAAACTATTAAGATGTCTTAAAGCCGATCAAGCCTCAGTCAATTGGGGAGTTGTTTTTAGATGTTGGTTGAGTGAGTTTGATCAGTTTTGCTTCAAAACCAAGAAAACCCACTTGGAACTATACTGCAGAATGTCAAAATTTGCGGTCTGGGAAGGGAGAACTAAAAGCATTTCTTGGGATCTAATCCATAGTTACAAATTCATTTTCCTCGGTTCGAAATAACTGTAATAATTCAGTATTGACAATAGCTCCTTTATTTTGTGTGTTTTGAAGCTGTCCTCTGGAAGTTTTGAAAATAAAAACTACCTCACACACTAATTCTTTGTGAAGATCAAAGCTTCAAACAAAAAAGCAAAGATAAAATAGCCTGCAGTGTCCAGGTGTCCCAAGGTCCATGCAAGGCACATCCAGGTTTTGCAAAGCCTTTCCATAGTGATGCTGCGAGGAGACAGCCCACATGTGAGCAGGGGCCAGGAGGGGAATGTGGCACATCTCACCTAAAATACTATATGAACTTGTTGTCATGGGTCACATTCTTAATATAATGTATGTTACAAACAGGGCCTTTCTGAGGCTTTCTTAATAGCAAATTAGCTTCCCAAAGATTCCTTAACTGCAGATGTGTGACTAGGTTTGCCTTATATTTTCCCTGAGTGCTCAGAATAGCTCTAAAAGAGAGTGACTTGCATTGCTAGTGGTTGGAAGAGTAGCCTGAAAAGCAGCAGTAGATGAAGTACTGCACAAGAATCCTGAACTGATAGTTTCTGTCCTGGCATTTGAACTGCTCTGCCTGCTAGTGCTGCTCACAAACATGCTGCCATGAGCATTGCTGTTCTCTGTGGTTAGGCTGAGCATAGGCATGAACCTAAGCATGTTTTTAGCTGCTTGAAGAGATACGGTCACTGGGCCAGCCCACGGTCTGTTCATGTTACTGTTTTAAACAGATTTAAGTAGACTTTGGATTCATGTGAATGCCTTCTTCCAGAATCAGGATTTTAGATTAGCTTGTATTCAAGTAAACTCCTTCATAAGACATGCTTTCATTCAAGTGTAGTGTGTACATCTTATCTGAAGATGACTTGCTCTCTCTGCCAATACAGTGTGTGTTAAATTTTAATGTCATGGTGGATTATCTTTTTTCCCCCTAAGGTGATTTCTGGAGCATCTTCAAAGTATTCAGTAAGTACCATTCACAGTTCTGTTTTTCCACGTTTTTCAGATACATTGGGAAGTCAGATTCAATAACAATCAGCGTGTGGAATCACAAGAAAATTCATAAAAAGCAGGGAGCTGGTTTTCTGGGTTGTGTGAGACTTCTTTCAAATGCAATCAACCGCCTTAAAGACACTGGTTGTAAGTAAGCTAAAGACTAGAGTTTGTTCTCTTTCAGCCCAAACTTTCATACTACACAGGCTTTTGAAGAGTGACACTTACTTGGGTTTTTTATAAAGCTTGTATATTCTGATGGGTTTGGTAGTTTGTAATGGTGTTTTGTGTCCAAGGATAATACAAGTAGGATAGAGAAGGTAAATCACTACTGGCTTTTCAGTGCCTTTGCCCTGTTACGTAGACATTGGTAACGTCAGTGCCACAGTCTGGTTGTGGATTGTCAACACTGAACTTAGTGTGTTGAAATTCCAAAGGAAGACAGATTCTAATTGGCTTCAAATTATCTTTTTTATTACCTTCAAAAATGCAAGTCTTAAGGGATAAGCAAAAGGACAAATTTATATTAAAGCCATATTTGTAGTTTAAAAATTAATGTGCCTTCAAAATTAATTAGTAAATGTTATCATATTAAGTGTTTTATAATACTTTGAGCACTTTGTATCTACTTTTCAAAAGTTAATTAACATGTAAGATGCTGTTTTCTCATTATCTGAATGGGTGCCATTTAGTGCTGAACAAAATTTGGTGCTCTGTGATGGAAACGTAGTGCTTGGCTATCTAGATAATCAAAACAGAAGAAAGTGACGTTCTGGTAGAGAAGCATTGGGATTTTTACCTTCTGTAACAGGTTCTTAACTATCTTACACTAGGCTGAATTTTGTTCTGATGGTACTTCAGTGAGCCTTTCAAAAGCAGCAAAAGGCTGTGTGATTTACACTGTGTGTCCTTGTTCCGTAGATCAGAGATTGGATCTGTGCAAGCTTGGGCCAAATGACAATGATACTGTTAGAGGACAGATAGTAGGTGAGTAAGGGGTTTGTCTTTTTGTTCTCTTGCAGCTTAATAGTAGCTATAGAGATACCCTTCCTAGATGTCAATTCTGTGTGCTGGATTTCCCCCCTCCAAGTTCAGTGTCTAGTGCCAGAGCCGTTTGGACCTCAGGCTAGAAGTGTGTATGTAGAGAATGAAAACAAACAACAAAACACCCCAAACCACTAAAAAAACCCAAACAACCCACTCCCCCCCTCACCCCATATCATAAGTGTTGAGACAGATAAGGCTATAGATAATGTGAAATTTATTTAGAAAGTTTTTAATTTCACTGTAAATAATGGTGAGAGTTTGAGCCTGAACTCCCTGTGAAAAACTGACTACAAATTCTTGGCCATGGAGAGTTCCAGCAAAGCTGTGCTTCCTGTAGGTTTTGCGAAAGGATGAAACATCTTGCTGCAACAGGAGTGAATTGCCGTCTGGGATGACTTGCTCAATTTATTTTGTGTTTTCACGGGTTATTAACAAGTCTGTCACCAGCCTCAGTGGCTGTTCTTTGTCATTCTGCAAACTCATAAACCTTAAATAACTTAAGAATTTAAAAGAAGCTGGCAAATTGAAAAACAAGTATCCACAAACAGCTTCATAAGCACTCTCTTTTTGGTGCATTGTAAGTTGTTTCAGAAGGCAGCTTAGGAAGTAAAAGAAAAAACAAATATAGCTGATCAGGATGAGGAGGTCTTTATTTTTATGACAAGATGTTAATGAGAGTATTTGGACTTGGGGAGGGGAAGAAAAGTCAATTTGCATGCTCAGCTTTATATTCAGTTCCTAGTTCAAATAATATCCAAGCAGCATTCTTGTTTTGTCAGCCAGGGAAACTGTTGAAATACCAGTCAGCAAATAAGGGCTTCAGTGCATTTCTTTGCTGTCCTCAATATGTTCTGTTGAATAATACCTAGGACTTCACCTCTTCATGTTGCTTTAACCATCTGTCTAGCATCTGATCTTCAAGTGTTATATTAAGTTAGGTGGCACAGGAGAGTCAAATGATGGTAAAAATGTGGAATCCTAAGTGCATTGCTGACACTTCAGACTGTTCTTGAATATTAAATTTTCCATGTGAGTTTGCACAGAAGAGTAAAGGATAAAAGTCATTTTTCTAGGGTGCATATATAGGAGGTGTGGTTTGCTTTCTGGTTTTTCTCCAGTATACCAGTCCCTTCTCATCGTACAATCTTGTTGGTGGAGTTCCTTTTAAGAGGAGCTTGTTGAAGGTCTCCTCCAGCAGCAGACATCCCCTGCCCACAGCAGCCCTTCAGACATGACACTGCAGGGACTGTACCCTCACACCATGACATGCTCTCATGCTGCCCTCCAGAGTATGCAACACGCATCCTTGTCATCATGGCTTGAGAATGTTGGTGTTAATTAAACAAGCAAAAGAAACCCCAGAGTAGAAAGGTCTCCAAGCAATTGGGATGCCAGTTGGGAAGCCTGGGGCAAATACAGAGCAGTGTGGGCATGGCAGATACTCTTCAGGTTGTCAAAGATAACTAGTCAGCAGTGTGGGCATAAACTAGACTGACCAGTTGGCTTAACCTGATGTTATCCTGAAAAGTTGTGTAGCCACAGCAGCATCAGCTCTGTTGGCATGCTGCTGGGGCTGTCCCTCATTAGCAGGAGCTGCTGGATTGTGTGTTGTACCTAGCTTACAGTAGAGGCTGAAAACAAATCTGTATGTTCTGCTTTCTGGGGTTACTATTAGAAAGGTCAGGTTTTCTCAGTCATGGCCTTGATTTAATTTAATGCATCCTTGGTAAGATTCTGGAGACTCCTGTCTCTATTAATCTCTTTATATTTTAATCTTTCTTCACTAGTCCAGTGTTGCTGAATGGATGAATGAGCCTGAATAAAACTAGAAAATTCCACTGCAGTAGTTACATAGTGGAGAAATCTTGATGAAAAGTAAGCAAGAAGATAGAATAAGTTAGAAATACACTCTCAGTCCTTCTAATGATAAACTGGCTTAAATTAAGAGGCTGTGGAAGATTGGAAAACAATATTAAAATGTAATTGATACCTTCAGCAGTTGATAACCTTACAGCTCAAGTGCACAGTGGGTATGCCCTTTTAACTTGGGCCAGGGAGCAAGGGGAGCTTCAACTTAAATATCTGGGGTTCTCTTCAAAGGAGGGAAGAAAAGGGGATGCTTGTGAGTAGTAGATGCAGAGGGCACCTGAACAGTGTCTTAATCTTGCAGCTCTCTTCTGTGCCACCATTTTATTGCTGATGTGGCAGTGCAGAAAAAAACAAGCCCTTACTCATTACAGAATGAAACCATACACAAATTTTGGGCCTTACATAGCTTTGTAATGTTAATCTTCATGGAAGACAAGGAGTTAATACTGATAAGGAATAAGGCAAACAGGTACTGCAGTACTTCCTGGGTTGCTCTGTTGAAGACTCAAAATCCAAAGCTTCAAAACATGCTGTTGTCGAACATTTGGCCACTGGCAAAAACTGCCAGCACTACTACACCTTTTAAACTGTGATCTTGGCAAAAGGTGTGATTGTGTCTAGGTTAAGGTCTGTAGGTTTATTTCACTGCATACATAAATAGGACTTGAAGACAGTTGTCCAGAGGTGCAGAAATGCCACCCCAAGAAATGTGTGCCATGGCACGTATTTAGCTTTTTAAGCAATCGTTTTATTGTTAAAGGCAAACCAGAACATCAAAAAAACCCCAACAAGCCCACAGAGGCACAAGTGTCATAAACTATCAGATTGGACACTTGCAAATTATGACACTGGGAACAAAAGCTGCCTAAAAAAGATTTTAATCTTTGATTTCATAATTTTAGTACAACAGCTTCAGGCATAAATATCCTTTCCAATGAAACATGTAAAAAATAAAAATGAAATTTAAAAAGCAGTAATACAGTTTTGCTGAGGGCAGTAAAGGCTTTTCAGGGTGCTGAGAACTGCTTTGTGTGAGAGTTGCGTTTGACTTCTTACCACCAGTGTTTCCAAGTAGTCAATAAATCAGATGTGTAGTGCTTCTAGCAGTTACATTTTGCCTGGTTTTATGTGTGTACATGTGTGTTGAATCCCATGTTCACAGAAAATACATAAGGAGGAGTCAAAACCAGACAGGAATTTCTTTGTTTACCTCTATTAGCAGTTCTCCTGTAGTAGTGGCAGTAGCGCTGTCCCTGTCACCCTGCTGCCGCCAGATGAGTGTCACACTCTATCTCATGTAGAGAAAAGTTAATTACAGCATCGGAAAGAACTTCCTTTTTCTGCCTTAACTTGTGTTCATGTTATAGAATCATAGAATCATAGAATAGTTAGGGTTGGAAAGGACCTTAAGATCATCAAGTTCCAACCCCCCTGCCATGGGCAGGGACACCTCGCTCTAAACCTACTACCCAAGGCCTCGTCCAACCTAGCCTTGAACACTGCCAGGGATGGAGCATTCACAACCTCCCTGGGCAACCCATTCCAGTGCCTCACTACCCTAACAGGAAAGAATAATATTCTTGAAGTAAGATGTAGAGAATTAAGTGTATGAGAATATACACCTTGTCTGTGTAACTCTTTGATTTTTGGGAAGGATAAAATACCCAGAACATGGCTCAGCTTTGTCCTCCAAGATGTACCATTTCTATCTCGAATGTAACTGCAATTTGCATTCAGATGTCATATAATTAATAATTCTTTTATTATCTTAATAGTAAGTCTTCAGTCCAGAGACCGAATAGGCACAGGAGGACAGGTGGTGGATTGCAGCCGGTTATTCGACAATGATTTACCGGATGGGTAAGCTGACATCACTGTGATGTAAATACAGACACAGCTCATGCAACAGACTGCTGCAGTAGTGAGAAGTCAGTGTACAAATAGGTTAACTTACTTTTATTCTTGTACTCAGAGTTCTGCAATTTTGGATTTAGGAGCAGGAGATAAGCCAGCTGGGATACACAGGAGCAGTTAATAATACAACCCTTGCGTTGTCTCTTCTTGGAAAATGGGAGGTGGCGTATGTGGCATATATGAGTAAATTCATTAAAAAGATACTTTTCTAAGAAAACATACGTCAAATTATAGAACTGCTAAACTAATCCAGTGTTAAAGCACAGCAAACTGACTTCCTCCAGCAGTAGTTCTGTAGCAAGGTAAGAGCTTGGTTGCCTTCTACGGTGCCACTTTTTCTTCTGTGCAAACTATAGTGAAGCAAACATGGTTGGAAAAGGCAGTGGAGCCTGAGTTCTTGCTGTATTTACCTGCCAGATGCTGGGTTTAGGATTTTGGTTTGTCCCTGTGAGAGTTAATGACATCATTAACACCTAAACCAGTTTTGTGTGTACAGAAAAATGTTCTGTTTTAGGTTCTAGTGCTGTCATCAACTTTTTCAGAGCAAACACAGACCTTCTGAGTGTGATTCTTGGCAGGTAAAGACAGGAGAAACTGATTTTTCAGATTATGAATTTCGAAATACCAATTACCATCTGAAGTCCTAAACAGCATTCTTCTGTTAATTGGGAGTCTGAAGAAGTCAGAAACACTTCTGACAATGCTTTTAAGTTTTCACTTCAGAACGTTCCTTGTATAAATATTGCTTACTTATTTGTGTAACTGCAAAACTAGCTGAATAGCCTGATGTAATTTGGAATGCAAAAGTAATAATAATTAAAAAGTCATGTTATTTGGTGACTTTTTAATGAAAGCCAGTAGTGCATGAAGATGCTATGAAAGCACTTACTAGATTGGTGGCCAAAAGAGGTTAAATGCGTTATTAAATATGATGTTTTCAAGAAGTTTCTTTATGTGGCTGTTGGGATTTAATTAGAATTCAAATAGGTATCAAACACAAAGGTGTGATATTGTTAATGATATGCCTGGTTCCAAGGGAAGAATGTGTAAAATCAATTCTGAGTTAACTTTCAGTTGTTTCCTGTTACCTCGTTCAGCTAACACGATTCATAATAGTGTAAGTCTTCCTGAGTTGGCATTTATGTTGGAAACATTTTGTGCCCTGGTTTCCTGGAAATACCACTCACTGCCTTATCTCTCCATGTCTAAATTCTAGGTGGGAGGAACGGAGGACTGCTTCTGGAAGGATCCAGTATTTAAATCATATTACACGAACAACTCAGTGGGAGCGACCAACGCGGTAAGAAATTGTTTAGAAGACTGTGCATATGATGAAGTTTGTATGCTGAGCAGGAGTGCTGAGCACAAGCCGTTCTACGTGGCTCTAACACAGGGGTATTCAGTGTTCCTCTGAGTCACTCCACAAATGCAATATGCTTTTCTTAACATCCTACTCCTTCAGTCTGCCTAATATTAAACTTGAAAGAATTGTTCTGATTAGAATTTTTTCCACCCCAAATACTAGCATCGTTGTTTTCTTGTTGAGCTGCTATGGTAGAGCTCTCTAAGTACAGACATTGAAAGGGATGAGGAGATCAAGAACAGCTGACAGGCATTGTCTATGTACATGCTATGACTGTGTAATCCAGAACTTTTAAAGCTGATTGTTACAGAGCATGTTTTGAAGTCATTACAATCACCTTTTCTAATAACTGTAATAACTGTGTTGTGAAGCTGTTCCTTAAACCAGCTTTGCTGTTACCTGAATTGCAGACACTGTCATGGCATATTTTTCAGTCTTCTGCAGACTGTGCCTGCAGACTGTCTCTTCCATCCCCAATAAATATTATTCCAGTCTCTGTAAGGTTGTATTTGACTTAATGTGTACCATTAACACTGCCAGCTCTGATAGATTTTTTTCAAGTGAGCAAAGGTACTGAACAGCTTTGTAACTTCTTTATCCATATTTTTTGTGGTGTGTTAAAATACCTGTTCTAAGCTCTAGGCACGTGTACAGTAGAGAAACAAATACAAAATATATAATTTGTTTCAGGGGTTTCCTCTGCCCTTGTCAGCCCCCCTTTAGCCCCTTTTTAAATCCTTTTGAAAACAGTATTGAGAACACGAAACCACATAATTCAGTATTTCCTCTTGCAGTGAAGCTCTCAAGAGCGACTGTTTTTATCTTGCTTAGCCCTTTTTCACAATCCTTGCATAATAACCTTCCCTAAAAATTAGAAGGAATGACAGGTTGACTAGTTGCTCTGGGATGAACCAGTGAGCACAGGACACACAAGCAGAAGCTTTGTGTCCATTGTTGAGTTACCCTGCATGACAAGTCAGTTCTGCCATCCACAAAGGCATCCCAAGAGCCCTAAGGTGAAGAAGCTACTACAAAGTGACTCTCATGTAACCCCATGTCTAGTCAGCAATACATTGTTCACATTTTTCCCCACAGGCCAGCGTGTGAATACTCCAGCCCGGGCAGACCTCTGAGCTGTTTTGCAGATGAGAACACTCCGATTACAGGAACCAATGGTGCGACCTGCGGGCAGTCGTCAGATCCCCGGCTGGCAGAGAGGAGAGTCAGGTCACAGAGGCACAGAAACTACATGAGCAGGACACACTTGCACACTCCTCCCGATTTACCTGAAGGATATGGTATGCAAATTAATGTGGTTTTTTAGTTGGGGGTTTCCCAATAAACTGGGGAAATGGGTTGTGTCGCCTTGTATGTAAGATCCTTTTGATCCCTTAGTTTGGGAAAAGCAGTCTTTCTGAGGTTTTGTATTGCGGGTTTCTATGTTCTTATTAATTTATCTTGATTTCACAGAGCAAAGGACAACTCAGCAAGGTCAGGTCTATTTTCTGCATACTCAGACTGGTGTTAGCACGTGGCACGATCCAAGAGTACCTAGGTAAGAAATAATGGAAGTATCCTTAAAGTGTCAAAACAAAAGAGTTTAAGTAGTACTTTCCTCAGAGTTTTCTCTGCCTAATATTATATTTCTGACTCTTGGTCCCTAATGTATTACTTTAACAAGTTATCAAAATAAATTAGGCTCTTCCTCAGTTCTTCAAGATGTTATTTTAATGCAAAGACGGAAAACGGGTGTAGTTAACTCATTCAAGATCCTGCATAGGAGTTATAACCAAGTCCAGCTTTTAATACTGTGCAAAATAATGAAACAGAAAAAGCAGGATCTGAGCACTTCCAAAAATTCAGATTTATCCAAAATGCTTCAGTGAAAACTGGATTGGTTTTGGTTTTTAATTCAGGCTTTGGAAGTTAACAGGACCTGGAAAATCGGCAGTATGTATTTATGAAGAACAAACTTGGTGACAAATAGACTAGACATATGTGATCGTTTTTGGAGGAGCAGACAAAGAAGAAACCTGGAAAATCTTGCCGATGCCCCTTGTATGTGTAGATACACTATAGTGAACTACAGCCTCATCATTGAATTAGCTTGAATATACTTGTTTGTGAGAATTATTGTCCCATGTTCAGACTACCAAACACAGCGTTCAAGTCCAGGTTGGACGGGGCTTGGAGCAGCTTGCTCTAGTGGAAGGTGTCCCTGCCTGTTTCAGGCAGTTGCAACTGGATGAGCTTTAAGATCCTTTGCAACCCAAACAAGTCTATGATTCAATGATACAAGTCTGTTTACATGATGCATGTGTGTACATACTGTGCATGATTTTACACATGATTATTTCTAATGTATTTAAAGAAGCATAATGAAAATTATTGTTAGCTTCCGATTGTTCTTTAAAACACCTCAGGAAATCCTATTGAAAGTGATTGCCTGCTACAGTCTGTGTATGATGTTGTAAAATCGTGTGTGGAGTTTGAAATTGGCATTTATGAGAACTATAGCAACTTTATCGGTTGCTGGTGCTAATTCCCATGGAAACGGTTATCCAAGGAAAGATAAAGTGCCTTATGCACTTCACTGCATTTTCAAATGATTTGGTTTTTTTACTTTTGTGTTACAAGAATATACTTTGCTTTGATTATCTGTATACATGAGGGTGTGATCCAGCTGGCCATTGTGCATTAGGAAGCCTGAGGCTTGTCTGTTATACAAAGCTACAAACTAGATTTCTCTAAAATATGTATTTATTTACTTTAAGATCTAATCTTTAAGTTGGTGGTGTACTGGTGTTGTATGAAACCTAAGTTAGCACTGCTCTTAGGTGTGGCAGCAGAAACTTGCACAACTGTGTCTCAGAACAAAATCTAGCTCTTTGCATGAGGATGGAGTTCATGTCATTTCTAAGGAAATTGTATTTTTATGCTAATACACCACAGTAATTTAATAAAAGCAAGCCCTCCAGTTCAGCAACAGTGTGTGTATGGGTAATAGCAGCACAAGTTCAGTCCCAGAGCCTGGTTTTTCCATTAGTGGCTTCTCAGCCTTTTGAGTCTCTGCAGATGCATCTTTTTAAGCCAATCTGTCCCTCAGCTCTTTCGTCCCCTCAGCTCTCACGATACTGTGAGATCTGGAGACTCAACACTGGTAAAGAGAACTGCACTTGACAGAGTGAAGTATCTCAGGTGTGAATTGTATACGTGAAAAATCATGTACACATAAGAACATTTTTAAACACCAGTGTTTGCTTTCAGTGAACCTCTGGAATGAATCTGCAGCTTCCTAATATCAACTCGATTTTCTTGAGACCCACTATCCCTGCATTGCTCAGTGCAGAGCTTGAGTCATCCTTCATCTTATTTTAGTTGAAATATTTTGTTAGAGAGCTGTTTGCTTCCCACCAGCGCTTGGGGTTTGGGGCAAACCCGCCTGTGCCATACACACATATCCCATGCGTAATTCTTCATGGAAAGTATAACTCCTCAGAAGTATAGTTTTGTTTTGTAGGAGTTTATAAAGCGTGATTCAGAGTTCCTTACATGACTAATGTTGTTTTTAAAATGTTTTCTGTCAGAAGTGGTGTAGAACTGCACTTCCATTCTGGCAAATAATGGCAAGGGCCTTTATTTTTGTTTTAAGCCTGTATTAATTTAACATCTGAAGTTAGTCTGTAAAAGGGAAGGTTATTTGATAAGAACTTTTCCCCCCACGGCATGTGTTCTGGGGTGTGTGTTTTTTTTCTTTGGTGGGCTAGCACCTTGGGAGTAGAGATTCCAGCTGAATAGATCAAGTTTCTGAAACAATACATTTTCTCAGACTTCATGGAATTGTTCTGTTACATTTATGCTTGTTTGGCTCCGAGGCCAAATGCTGAGGTATTTTTCATTTTATATTTGTTTTCATAGGGATCTTAGCAACATCAATTGTGAAGAGCTTGGTCCACTGCCTCCTGGATGGGAGATCCGAAATACAGCAACAGGGAGAGTTTATTTTGTTGACCATAACAACAGGACAACGCAGTTTACAGATCCACGGCTATCTGCTAACTTGCATTTAGTCTTAAAGTAAGTTAAAGTCTCCAGCGCATGTTGAGTGTAATAGAGGAAAGAGAGTGACTCTTGAGGGCTGCTGGGTTTTATATCAAGACATATGCTGCCTTTAAATACATAGTATTTAAAGGATAGTATGGGTGTTCTTTACCAAACTCTCACCTTACTCTGTTACATAACAAAGAAGACAGGCTTGATTGTTCTTGGAAGTGGGGGGAACAAATCTTTAGCAGCATTTAGGCAGGAATGTGGCTATTGTGATGCTGGAGTTGGGGACAGCAAGTGCAAGAGAGGCAATTTCTTTTCTGTTCTTTATACTTCATATTACTTTTAGTTATGGGGAACTTGTTTTACAATATGAGGTTGCATTCATTAGCCAGTGGTGTGAAATACTGACAAGTTAGGCAAGGGTGCACAAGTACCCAACTGTTCTCCTGGAATAAAGGAGAAATAATCCAGCTCCTACCTGCAGTTTTAGAGTAAGACCAGTTGAGATGTTCTCAGAGTAAGACTCCAATAATTTAACTCTGATATTTAACAAAATGAATAAAATAAAATACTTTGCCTTTTGATACCACTTTTTTATACTGCATTTCTAAAAAGGGGAAACTGAAAAGAATTCTGGCTCTTGTTTTTATTCCCTTGGCACTCATTTCACACTGGGAGATTTTCTACTAAAAATGGAAACCAAAAAGCAAACAAACATTTCTTTTTGCCTAGACATGGCTATTGCTTTGTCCAGCCTGTTTGGGAGTTTGACTCTATTGTTTCTCCTACTAACACCTTTTAATACTCTTGGGAAACACCTGTAAAGTATTGAGTAGGTGTTAAGTGGGAGAAACAATGAAGAGTTGCTTAGGTAGAAAGCCATGCAGCCCTGGGCAAGGAGTAAGTAGGAGCAATAGTCCTTTTAAGGAAATGAGTCATTGGGAAGAAAAGCTGAAGGAAATAATGGGAACAAGCACTGAAAAGACAAAACCAGGGAATGGAAAGCAGGATCCAGGAGGTCAACATATATTTGTGTAATAGGTACAAGCTGGCTAGCCTTTGTCTGCCCAATATACATTTGAACTTAACACCCCAAGAGGAGAGTCTGTAAATATTGACAAATATGTATTTTGTTTAGATAAATCATTAGTTATAAACTGTGTATACTACAGGACTTAAGTAAGCTCCCCTTGTCCAGACACTTCTAGTTCTTGTATTTATTATTAGAAATAATAATAATATTTTTAATTTTAAATAAATCGCTGCTAATTTTAGCTGCATTTAGATTGGTAGTTTCAAGTGAACATGATCTTGGAAAAAAAAAAATCTTGCCAGTGGAGGAGCATTTTCATGTTTGAAACACAGGAAAGTTCTTTAAATTAATTCAGATTTAGATGTTTTACCCAAAGGAAAACTTAAGACCTTCTTAGCTACAACGGTGCAATTCCTAAACTGTACAAAATTGAGTTAATTTGACTATATTTGAATAATTGTCCTTCACAGATAGGTTTCTTCTTAAATGGCAGTAGGGTCATAGTGGCTAGTTCTGCATGTATCTGTGGAGGACAAATCCATATCTAGCTTTGTTACCTGTAAAATCCAATTGGACTTTCAAGTTCCAGAATCACAGAACCATTCCTGCATTTCGTTAAAGTACTGCTAGAGTGTGTTGAAGATTTGTACATCTGTCTTTCATTAGGGAAGGATTTCAGAAATTCAACCAACAGTGTCATCAGCAAAGCCTGCTCCCTGATAAATCTTTTCTGGTATCTGTTCTTTTACTGCACTAAACAGGATATGTGAAAGCTTCACCCACCACCCCCTTAAGCCCACCTCCTTATTTGTTCTTTCAGAAAGAGAAAACCAGTTTGATTTAGGCCCCTCATTTTGTAAATTATCAGATAAATAAGTTCAGTGTTTGGGTGGGATAGTGGTTGAGGTTCAAAGGCATAATAAAAAGTTCACTCTCAGTGTTACTGGTTTTCCTATAGAGCTGGGTAGAGCAGTTTGTTTCTCCAGTGGTGACATTATAGGTTATGAAAACAATCAGGTTGTTACCCAGTTCTGTTTAAAATACTAGCCAAGAGTTTGTGATAGGTTTTGATGGTTATGGCACCTGAAAAGTACTTAGCTGCTTCCTTAAAGCACTGTACAGTGGAGTGGAATCTTTCAGCTGTGAAAACAAACTAAGAAATTAGATTTAATCACTCTTAAGCACTGCAGATAATTTTGCTAATGCTACGCTGATTATTTTTAGTCTAATATGGAGGAAGGCATTTTATTTTTGTCCTTCTAGTACTGCCCTGTTTAGATTGGTTTCATTTGATGCATAGATCTTAAATTCGTCCTCCTTTCAGGGATTACATTTTCTTTAAGCCTGAGCTTTGTGCTTTTGGGACTGTGCCTTTTTTACCCCTAAAGGTAATATGAACGTGTGCACACTTCAGTATATAGTTCTGACCTTCCCTGATAGGCATATACAGGGGCTATTTTCACATGCTCGTTGTTGTGGAATTTGAAAGTTCAGAAGATAAAACAATTATTTTTGCTTTAGTTTGTATATCAAGTAAATACTTTAAGGGATTTTTATATTTACAGCTAATCACAAGTGGAATGAAATTACCGTGCACGTAGCACGAATGACATAGAGTCCTATTCTAGAACCACATCGCGTATGTGTCTCTAAATTACTAAAATGACTTCGTTTCTCAGGAATGACTTAAAATAACTAGTTTATTGTAAGACCAATGTGGTCAGCTTGCAACTAACATTGAGGTATCCTTGTTTTGGGCTTTCTTATTTTTTAAATAACAGAAGCAAACAACAAGACACTATGGAACTAACAACTTTGTTTAAGCTAACTTCTGAAGTTCTGCATCCTAGGACATAGTAACCAAATAGGATTTCTGTACATTATTTCTTCTCTAAAGACTAGGAGTAAAGAGGTATTATTAATCTTCAGCTTTGAGTTGTTGCTGAAGTGATGTACAGTGTGTGCCATTGCAGGGGTTTCTAAATATGAGGCTTGTAAGACTACTGATAAAGATTTCCTGGTCACCTGCTTTAGTTTCCTTTCAGTTTGTGCAAAATTGCTTTAAATAGAAGGTTTGCAAATAAGGGAATAGCTGTTCAGAACCACAGGCAAACTGGGAACACCCCCACCCCTTTTAATTGCCAATTCTGAATGCCCCTGTGGGGAAAGCCTGCTGGAGGTGAGTTGTGGTTGGCCAGGAGAGCTTTCTGGTAGACCTTGTTTCAAAGCAGACAATAGCCTGAAATGTTAAAATACATTAAAACTGCATTTGCTTCCATATTTTTGGTCTTTGTAGAAAAACCAATTTATTAACATCCCACTGGAAGACATTCTGAATTGTAACCTTTCTTATTTATCCAGTAAATTCAGGGTATTCTCGTGTGTTCCACAGGGAGATATTCTCCTTGTGGTTTAGGTAAAAGACAGCTTTTATCCTGCGGTGTTTGGAAATGCCATACTAAAAAGCTATAAAAATATCCACAAGAAACGACACAAGAGGACATCTCTGCAACACTGTTCATTTACTTTTCCTGGTCAGAAGCTAGATTTACAAAATCTCTTAGACTTGCTAGTAAAAATACTTGTTTATCTGTGCCAATTAGTTACATGTGAACTCCCACATTCCTGTGGTCCAGACTAGGCCAGGTACAAGGGACAAGGTCCTTGCCAAGCTGCCAGTACAAACATCTTTTTGTAAGCTTACTCTTTTTCAGACAAGCCATTTCAAACAGACTATGGTATTGACTGTAGATTAGAGGCATGGTGTTTGGCAGATCCCTGGATTTTAAAATGGAGGAAGGCAAAACACGCAAAGGAAATATGGAAATGGTATCTGAGAAATTCAGAGTCAGCAGCTTAGTAGTAAAATTGTATGGATAATACCTTATTATACAGTGCCGTAACCTTTTACATACTTTGTAGAGTAGTACTAATAGAAATAACAAACCCTAAAACCAACCTGATAGTTGCCAAGAAAGACAGAAGCGTATGTCTTTGGTCAGGGTAAAATCTCTCTGAATTTATTTTTTACTGGGCCCAGATTTTTTTTTTTTAGTGTAATCACAGTAATAATCATAGTAAATGGAAAGTAGTTTAATTACAAAGACCTAACATCTAAGAAACATCAGAAGAAAATAGGGGATGTTTGACTTGAATATCTGCAAACAGCTGTGTTTGTTTCTAGCCGCCAGAATCAACTTAAAGATCAGCAGCACCAGCAGCAGCAGCAGGTAGTGTCCCTGTGTCAGCTTCCAGATGAGGCAGAGTGTCTGACTGTGCCCAAGTACAAGCGAGACCTAGTGCAGAAGCTCAAGATCCTGAGGCAAGAGCTGTCACAGCAGCAACCTCAAGCTGGCCATTGTCGTATTGAGGTCTCTAGGGAAGAGATCTTTGAGGTAATTTGAGAATTTGACCCATTTCTTAGCTTTGAGGGAAGGGGAGGAGGGTTGTTCATAACCATCTAAAGAAGTCATTCAGTTAGATGAAATCTTGAATTCTGGAGTTAAAACTGGAGTTTTACCAGTGACGAATGGGAAGAGGAAAAGCTTTCCCTGTGGCTGGAAATGTGACTGTGTCAGGACTGAGGAATGAGTTCAAGCACTTCACGTATTTGAAGATACTGTCTCACTTCTTCCTAGAATAGAAGAACACAAATGTCTGTTACAGAGGGACTGTTACAAATGGAAAACCAAACAATTCTTAATGATCTTTGATCTATTGTAATTCAAGTAAAATGACTGTTGAATAGCAGTCATCTTTGGAGTTTGGATTACTTGGCATGTCTCAATTCTGCTTGATTGTTTTCAATTAATCCCCCCAAATCAGACCAATTTTATGCATTTCCTAGGCTACTGAATGCCAGGGGTGTCCACAGTGGGATATCTGCATTTTATTTGGTGTCATTATTCAGCAGAATAATTCTGCTGAATTGATTGAACATAGTTATAATACATTGGCTCTTTCTGGAGAACAGTTTGTCCTCCTGAGAACTTTATCACCCATCCCACCCATCCCTGTTGAATTTTCACCCCACCCACAAACCGGATAGTCCCGCTGTGTTGTCACACTTTTTCCAGCCAAGAAAGATCTGTGTTGGTCTTCCCTTTGGAGGCAGTCAAATCAGTTCATAATCAGCGAGAGAAAGAAAGGAAAGGCTGCTCTACAGCAGTGAAAATCATTATGTTCTTGTTCTGAAAACTGAATTGAGTGCATTGGGCCCCCAGCACACCTACCTCTTCTGTTCTACAAAGCCAGAGATTGGGGCACGAACATTAAACGTAAATGAAAAGTAACATGTTTTGTTTAATTCCATTTTAAAAATTAGCATTTGTTTTGCCTCTTTCAGCTTTCTCTTTGTGTTTTGGTGAAGTTTTACTGATGGAGGAATAATTCTGTAGACTTACTGGGATGGCATTAATGCCTCTGTTCTAAAGATGCTTCTTGAAGGTTTGCACATGGGTTATACCCAGAGTAGAAGCTCCACTGTTGGCTTTTCTTATGGCAAAACAAAAGTATACTGACCCAGATTTTACCTTTTTGTAAGTTATGTGGGAATGAAGGAGCTTGTTCTGATCACTGTGCACCTCTGGAAATCTAACAGGAGGTGCTTCTACTCATGTCCTCATCAGTTTTATTTGACAAGTTTTATCACGGTTGTAGAAATCTAAGTAGCAGTCTGATTTGAGAAACTGGTTAGTGTCTTGGAAAATAGCATCCTCTTTGACAGTATCAGACTCAGAGTCTGAGAGTCCATTTCTAATAAACAACAGTAGTTTCTTGTCTATAAATAGAAGTTAATAAAATGAATGTTGTGTTTACAGGAATCCTACAGGCAAGTCATGAAGATGAGGCCGAAAGACCTGTGGAAACGATTAATGATAAAGTTTCGTGGGGAGGAAGGCCTTGATTATGGAGGTGTTGCCAGGTAAACAGTCAGTCCTCTGTCTCTTCCCCTGCACCCCAACCCCATCCTTTGAATCCTAAACCAACCTTGTATGAGCAAGTAAGAATAATTCAGGTTTCAGTCTTATCTCAGCATGTTCAGAGAGAACTTCCTCCACATTTGTGTTTAACAGTAAGATCAGAAAAATCATACGGTTTTGAAAAAACTCAGTGTAAGAATGCGTTTGCAGAAAGTACACAATACATTGTTTTATTTTCTTCAGGGAGTGGCTCTACCTATTGTCACATGAAATGTTGAATCCATATTATGGTCTCTTCCAATACTCCCGAGATGATATCTATACGCTGCAAATCAACCCGGACTCTGCAGTCAACCCGGTACGACTGGTGACATGAGTTCTGTAATGATCATTTTATGACTAGAAATTCAATACAACTGGAGAGTGTTCTAGGCTTAGGAACCCAGTTCTCACATTAGTGTTGCTAGAGACTGAATTTGTGCAATAATACGATAATTTCTATTTAATACTGATCAAAGAAACTTCTGAAATGTGTTGTTAATTTTGTGTAAGATGTCAGTTTATGTTTCCTTTGGGAGAAATTAAGCTTACTTTGATTCTTCCTCTTTGATTCTGGGCTGGAAGCAGTATCTTCAATGGGTGCATAAAACAAAACAAACCAAAAAGCTCTGGTTATGTTTTCTTGGTTGGTTGTTTTTTTAGTTCTTTTTTGTCTTTTCTTTGTATTGAAATTACATTTCATATTCAGCAGCTATAACCTGGAGGTCTTATTTAGCTGAATGGCTCAGTCTCTTCTTTCTGTTCTAGGAACACTTATCCTATTTCCATTTTGTTGGACGGATCATGGGGATGGCTGTGTTTCATGGACACTATATCGATGGGGGCTTCACGTTGCCTTTCTATAAACAATTGCTAGGGAAGCCAATTACTTTGGATGACATGGAATTGGTTGACCCTGATCTTCATAACAGCTTAGTCTGGATACTGTATGTACTATCTGTTATGTCCTACAATGTTAGAGTTGTGTCTTGATTAACCATGTGATAATGTTCCTAAATCTACTTGAAAAGAAATCTGAGTGTTTTGTCATCTCCTGCTCAGGCAGATTTAAGAAATGTATTTCTTGCACAATTCAGCTTCTTTAAGTCTTAACATGCTCAAGGCTTTTGAGGGCACAGGGGGAAGTTAATAAATCTTATTTTATTAATTTTGCCTATTATTAACATAAAGTTTATTAAAATATAAATTTGAAACCTTGATACTGGTTTAAAGAATACACCATAGTGAAAATGTACGTTCACCTTTTGCTTCCAAGCAGTAAATTGAAATGCTATTGAAAAAACTAAGTCTGACAGATAAATTATGGCTGTAATATGTTTGCAGAATATGTTCACTGAGTCACTTGCTTACTTCTGTCCACCAGTGAGAATGATATCACAGGAGTCTTGGACCATACATTTTGTGTAGAACACAATGCATATGGAGAAATTATTCAGCATGAACTGAAACCCAATGGCAAAAGCATCCCTGTGACAGAGGACAACAAAAAGGAATATGTCAGGTACATTTGTGCCTTTCCCAAAGTTTTTTATGTTTTATCTATTTTTAACTTATTTGAAGTAATTGACAGTTTCTGGTTGGCTCTTTTCTAAGTGGTGGTGCAGGTGTGGTGGTTGGTTTATTCCTGTCAGCAAGGCCATTTTTAGGGGCTGGGTAAATTGTTGGGTTTATTGTATTTGAACACATTTCTCACAAAACCACTTTGCACTTGCTTGCAGGCTTTATGTAAACTGGCGTTTTTTACGAGGAATTGAAGCTCAGTTTCTGGCTCTACAGAAGGGATTTAATGAAGTAATCCCACAACATCTGCTGAAGACATTTGATGAGAAGGAGTTAGAGGTCAGTCCACTAATGTTACGTTATGTCGTCAAGTGTAACAATAAAAGCCTGAGGCATTCTTCAGAGACTGAGTAACATGCAGAGTTGGGTCCCCAGTGCTTTAGGGGGCTGCAGGTGTGCTGTTGCAAGACATACAATTAGCATAAGAGGTTACCAGGTCAGGCCATCACTGAGCCTGAGTGTGCCTTCCACTGCAAGCTGCGAGGGTGTTTCTCAAGGTGACATTTCATAGCAACTGCAGAAGTGATAGGAGAGGAGACCCTCTCGTGTCCCTGGAAGCCCAGCTGAACCTGCACAGGAGTGTCTGCAGTGACCTCTGGGAGTGCTGCTCCAGCAGAGGTGGTGGATGTGCTTCTCACAGTGCAGTTTCACGACGCTAAATTCAGTGCTGCCAGGAAAATAATCTGTCAGTGCCTTCCACCTCCCACCGCTCGCTCCCAGCCCTTCCAGCACTCTGCACTGCCTCTGCTGTCAGGCAGCTCTGTGGTTTTGCAGAGCCGAGTTATGCCAGACTAAATTTGCCCTGTAAATACAGCAAGAGGAAAGGTGCTGTCTGGTGCTGTCTCTGACAAATGTGCTACATCATGTCAAGATCCACAGCATCCAAACAATATCCTCTGAAGGCAAATCCTAAACTTGTTAAAATGGAAATCTGTTACATAGTCTGTTAGCTGTGGGGGTGAGGCATTTGCCATATAAAATGTCCACAAAATAAATTATTCAGGCTTCTGCACTAGAATGTCAGTGATTGCTCTTCTTTTATTCTTGATATTCACATTCAAGTACAGAGAACCAGCCATACTGTTAACCCAGAATCATTTTGCAGATGCAAAATAAGAAAGGGGAAGGTCCAATGTTCTTAGTCACGAGAAAATGTCTTCATAATCACATCCCTGTTTGAGCTTGAACTGATCCATTGTGGGTTTCCATTTTAGAAGCGCTGAAAGCTCTTCATCAGGAAAGAAGTGATTTGTAATAAGCGTATGGTATGAAAAGAACAAGATTACTTTTGGGGTTGGACCAGCCAAACTATGCCCTTAGCTATGCTCCAGAAAGAAATACTGAGTTCAAATAGGAATTATGCATGTACTTTCACACTTGAGTAGAATCTGTGCTTCTTATTTAATTGACAGATAAAGACATTTTCATATAAAGCTTATGAAATTGTTAAATTTTAATTGAGGCCATTTGAAAAATCATTTTGTAGAAAGGTGAGATTAAAATAAAGTTATATTCCAGCATTGCTTAAGCTTAGTGGGAGGTTATAATTTGCCTTTGGTATAAAATCTGTTGATGTTTCAAAATGCATCATTTGGCAAATTCCAAACCCAGTTTTACATTGATCAATGGTGAAATACTTGATTATATTTTAAACTTCCAGCTCATCATTTGTGGACTGGGGAAAATCGATGTGAATGACTGGAAGGCAAATACCAGGTTAAAACACTGTACCCCAGACAGCAACATCGTGAAATGGTTCTGGAAAGCTGTGGAGTTCTTTGATGAAGAGAGGAGAGCACGACTGCTTCAGTTTGTGACTGGCTCATCCCGAGTGCCTCTGCAAGGCTTCAAGGCACTACAAGGTAACTGCTCCGGAAGCAACTGCAAATGCCTGAACTTGGAGGGAGCAATAGGACACATCCCAGAAACATCAGCTGCAAAAGAGGCTGGTTGGCTTTTTAAGGGTGAATAACAATCACAAATAGTGGGGTTTGTGTGCTTGTTATCACCTTGTCATTCAGCTGTTAATGGCTCTTTTATTTCAATTATGCACTTCGTTCTCTGGCAGGAAATTCTGATCGGTGGAGATCTTGGTGCTGTTCTCCTTCTGTTTTTTCTAGAAGCCTGGTTTTTAATTTCAGGCTTTTAAAAGTCCTTGTCACCAGTACAGCTCTGGGACCAGAACACACCAACATGCAGAGTGCTTGTGATTCTGGCAGCAGAGGCACTTCAATTCTGACTGCTTTTGTTGTAAGAGACATAACCAAGGGCAGCCCAGGCATCAGAAGCAGTCACCTTAATTACTTACCTGGCTTCTGAATGTCCTGTGGGTCTCTGTTGTAGCAGCTCTGTCTGTAACCCATGCTGCTCTATTAACACTGCAGTTACCCTGTTTCACCCTCTCACTAGGTGAGAGAAAATGGGCCAGGGAAAACATTGATCATAACCCAGAAGAGTCCATCAGAACACAAATACTATGGTAACACCTGTAACGTGCAAAAACCAGTTGCTCTAGAAACCTGTTTCCTCTTAATAATCCCTTCATTATCAGATAGAAGCCCTCATTTTCTGTCTCCTCTGTCCTGAGCTCTAAAATGTTCAGGAGCATTGGAAGCTTAGGAATGTTGAGGTTTTTAAGCAAAGTGTGGTACTCGTGGTGATAAGTGTTTGGACTTGTGTCAAACTGTGTACCTGTTTACCCTTGTCAGAACAGTTACAAGTAATATTCACCCTACTAATGTTGTGTGTGCTGTTTACTGTGTGGAGTGAGCTCTTTGGAGAAGGGTAATCGAAGTAATACCAGTTTAACATCGTCTGACCTGTAAATTTGGATATGGCTTTTCTAGTATAACTATTTCTGTGGGCAAACAAAGCCTGAACACAAAAGTTGCCAAAGTTGGTATTGTGACTCCTTCATGGAATTTGAATGGAATTGGCCACTCCTCAAGACCTGCTGTAAAATGGGGACAGATACAGCTGCATACGTTTTGTTCTCAAGGAAGGGTGAGAGAAGCTATATGGAAAACTGTTAGAATTACATAGTGCACTGAGTAAACCAGGTGTTTTATTCCTCCTTATGGGTGCTTTGTTGCTGTTTATCTTTCAGTGGTTGCAGTAGCTGCATGGTTACCGTGGGTGGGTGGAGGGGAGGAATCTCTGATAAACATAGCAAGTTTAAGGGGTTTTCCTGCCTGTTTATGATTTCAATTTGTAGCTTCTCCTTTTTTTGTGTGTGGTTTTAGTTACTTTGATGCTGCACTGCAGCAAAGACATTGCATATTCTCCAACACAGTAGCAGTAGAGCTCTTTTCTGGATTTTCAGGTGCTGCAGGCCCACGACTGTTCACAATACACCAGATTGATGCCAGCACTAACAATTTGCCGAAAGCTCACACCTGGTAAGACTTTTTCAAGGCTCTCTTGTGATCTGTAGAGTAGGGCCAGTTTGCTGTCTCCATGAATTTCTTTCCTCCCTTCCTTTTCTGACATAATAAATGCTCTCCATTAGAGTAGTAAAGATGTGAAAAGTAGAGATTGCTTTTATTTAGATGAAGCTCTGCTGGCCTTGCTAAGTGTTGCTTTGCCATCACTTCCAGTGTAACAGAACTTTCTAGGTGATGCTTTAAGTTGCCAGCAGCTGAACCTTTCCTGCTGTCTCTCCACAGCTTTAACCGAATAGACATTCCTCCTTATGAAAGCTACGACAAGCTGTACGAGAAGCTGCTAACTGCCATTGAAGAAACATGTGGGTTCGCTGTGGAATGACCCTTCCCAGCCTTACCCGAGACTATTTATACTCCTGTCAGCCAGAAAGCCCTTCCCTCAGCCAAGACTCAAGAAATGCTTGAAATACAGGAAACCTTTCCCTTTTCTACACTCGGACACTGGGAGGGAAAGGACAACTTTGGAATTTTTGTTTTTATTTTTAATTTTTGAGGTTGTTTTTTATTCAAGAAAATAGGTTCTGTGGCTCCTGCCATAGGATCATTCAGCTGCTATTAAAAACTAATATCTTGAACATACAGAATGCTGACTTTTCCTACATTTCAACAGTTAAGCAGTATTCTATACTTAAAGACTACTACTATTTTTGTAAAAGGTAATCTATTATATTTGCCTACCTGATTTCTATTCTCAGATACCAAGACACAACTTCAGCAGTCGGTACAAGTCACGTTTCAGCCTGTTTTAAATGTATGATACTGAACAGCATCTATACCTGCTATTTTTGGAGAAAAAAACCCTATTTTGGATTATTCTAACTTTGCATAAAATTGGCTGAAAGAATCATTACTCTTTTTAATTAAAGCCACTTACGTGTTAACTGCATTTTCTTATAGTAAAACCATTATATTCTGCAATGTAAATTCAACGTAAATGTTACCACAGGGGGCTTTTTTATATTTTTCAAGCATGAATTACAAATATGATGTTTTGGGGTCCTATTTATATCACTTGTCAGATTCCTTAAACAAAGTTTCTAGTGTGAGTGACACATGCTGGATCTGGTACAGCCCTTGTGTTGCCATGTGGGATAGACCTTTTTTAATGAACAGTAGATGTTTTGATTTTTTTAAACCAGCATTTTTCTAACAAGTCTGTCAAGAGGATTTTTTGTTGCTTTTGACTTTAAACACTGCGTTTTTCAACCTTTAAAGCATGCTGATGAGGTGGTATTTGACAGCAGGAGCCTGTCAGCAGTTCGCTTCAGAACCCATCCTGTCCAGTCAACCAAAGTTTGTTTGAATGCAGCCAAATTGCATTATGTATTTGTTGATGCTAAAGATTTATCAGGTAAAACATGTTGTAATCTTTGTCCAGCTGCTCATGACACGTGGGTTTAAGTTACAACTAAGGAAAAATGGTGTTTTAACTGAAATGTATGTAATGTGCTTCAGAAAATGAGGTTTTAAAAGCACATAATTTATTGATTGTAGGGATGGAAGTAAGTATATATATGAATTATAACATGGGTTGATCTCTTCAAAGGGGAATAAAATGCACTACCAGTAGAGGGAACTGAACTTTGAAGTTAGTGTGGAAATTCTCAGTTAAGATGTGTATGATCTGCTCATGGTCTGTAGATAAATCAGTCTGCTTAAGAGATGGTGGCATTCTCCTCTCAGCGGTGCGAGCATCTGGAGTAAGTAGCGTGGGTTTTTTTCCCAATCAGTGTTGTGTTTTTGTAACTTAGGTTACAATTAATCATCAGACCTGCACTATTTTTACACTGCCAATGAGAAGAAAGTCGAGGGTATTGAAAATGCTGAAAGAATGGGATGTAAACAGCTGTTCCATTTTTGCAGTGGAAGTCACAGAGTGAACTGGCTAATTTGCTGTCTGTTCTATGGAGCTTGAACTTAATTTTGTTCTGCCAAATCTGACTGCCACAGTGAGTAAACTACTACTGGATGTTGTGTGTTGGAATAGCAGGCAATGGACTGCTTTTGTAGAATTGTGGTAAGAGCCAAATCCACATATTCATTTGATTATTTTATATTTTGTTTTATACAGCTGTTGCTGGAAGGTTTGTTCTAAGAGACTTGCTTCCCATTTGGGGCTGGCTGCAGAGATGAGGCTACTTAGGGATGCAGACATAAAGCCAAGAAACTTGTTTTGACAGCCAGGTTTGAAATACATCAGATCCCTTTTTATCTTCAAGGGACTCTTGCACTCGTGTAAAATGGCTGGTACTTTGGCACCTGCAGCTGGGGTCCCTTCAGGTAACGCTGTCACTAGAGAAGCTACAACTACATCTTCAGGGTTGCCAGGGAGAGCAAAGGAGGTTGTTGAGCAGCGCATTCCTTACTTGGAACTGCTGCTGGTGGTTGGGGACCACTGTTTTACACACTCCCATCATCTTTACCCACCTCCCAGGAACCTGCTCCCTGTCAGCCTGCTTAGGCTGGTAAATGTATTGAATGACCGGTTATGGCCACCCTTATATCATAAAAGCATTTGTGAGGAGGGAGGAGATGAGCTCTGCAGAATATGGACTCTAGATCAGCTGATGGACACCATTCACTTTCACAGCAGCCTTAGCAGTACATCTGTCTGTTCTACCAAACGTTTTGGTTTGGTATAGGGAATTATTTTTAACTGCCACATCTAAATATTGTAAATTTAATATATTACAGGCAAAACTAGACAAATCTACATTTGACTTCCATAGCTGACAGATGAGGATGAACATACCAAGTATTTTGAGTGCCTTTCTACCTTCATGATAACTTGAGAGCTTTAAGCACCTCATCACCTAGTCAGATGTTTATCTGAAAACCTTCAAGGGTTGAACATCCTTTGCAAAATTTATTTTAAGGTCATGTCAGCTACTTTCCCCTCAAAAAGGTGCTAAGCCTAATACAGCATTTTAACCTTGGACTTTCACCCCATGATTAATGTGAATATTTATTTCCGTGTGTCCCTCTTACTGGGTTTTACTTTATCCAGTCTTTAGTTGTTTTAGAGAGATGTCACATCATGGTTTTATGCTGTTGCTTTTCATGATGAATGTTTAATTATGAACAGTGACTTTTGTAGATTTCAAATATACAGTTACACAGGTGAGTTTCAGAGGATTTAATTTCTCGGTGTAAAGAGTTTTGTAATGGTGCTTTGTACAGTATGTATTCTAATCTTTTTCCTTTTTTGCACATAGTTTCAGTTTCCTTGAACTGATTTTATTTGTACCAAATTTTTGTGTTGTACTAAAGTCCAGAGCACACAACCTGTTTTTAAATCCTTGTTCTACAACACTACATCTGTATTCAACTTCTGGTGCGTTTAAACTGGCTGCATTGATGGAAGTAAAGCTTTGCTTCTATATCATAAGTATGCATCATACAGCTAAATGTAGCATGCTCTGACTGCTTCAGATTTTAAACAGCACCATATAGTTAACAGGTGCCATTTGTTGTACTTTACACTATATAGTAGGTTTCTGGCTCTGCCTCATCCTCAGAGCTTTGTCTGTAGTTGTAATTAGTTTATACAAGTGTAATTACTCCTCCACAAACTGACAGTTCTTAGTTTATCATTTCCATTGTATTTATTACAGAGTGTTTTAGCATTGGTATCATTGTATTTTCACCCAGCTGTTACATGAGCTTTAACAAAAAACAATCTGTATAAAATGGTTTTTAAGTACTTAATGTATGTACCCATGCAGAAGTTGAGCAATAAATTGTATGCTGTTTGCACTGTCACAGCATCAATGGTTTTAAAAGTTTTAAGTTCTTCTTAATTATTTACTTTAAAATGTAACAACATCATTTTTAAGTAACTCAGTATTTGCTTCAGAAGAAAATACTTAAAACTTGGTGCCTTGCTGTGTGCTGTTACCTGCAGTAAGAATTGTACTAAGCGTCCTGGTTGAGCAAGAAGATCTTACTTTTGGCTTTTATGTAGTGGTAAGGACTTTATCTCAGCTTTGGTGAATAGATGTCTCTTCAGCAAAGCTAAACCATCTTCCTTAAGGGAAGAAAAAAGGTAAATACTTGTTACATTTGATTAACTTAGCTGATAAACATTGTCTCTTAGACAAAGACTTCAACTTAGCTTAGAGCAGCTCCCTGGAAGGGGTTGTTAGGAAAGTCAGTTCGTGGGTTGCTGGAGGATTTTCATTGTGTGGTTTTTAACTGCTGCCTGTTTTATTGCCTGTTTTATTTAATCTGAAAAGGAAGCACCTCCAGCTGCTGGGGGCTTTTTTTCCGGCTTAACATTTCTTCTTCCAATGCCTGAGTCTTAATGCACCATGTATCTTATGAATTCATAAGAGACACCATCTCATGGTAAGCTTTAAATATTATATATATGAGGCAATTAATTCAAGTCTTTTTATATCACTTCTCACACCTGCAATTTTAAGCAAGAACTCTTCACTCCATTCTGAAAGAGATCATTTGAAACAAAACTTCACTTGTTTATAGATGTGTTGATGTGGTTTTGCAACCGCTGTGTGAAATTCAGCAACTGAAAAGCATACAGAGCCTACCCCTACTTGTATATCCCTGCTGAAACTAATTAGGAATGCTGTCCACAGGTTGTTCCCAGGGTTCAGTTCTCACAGACACTTGTATTTTACCGCTTTAGAAGAATTTGCATTGTTTTCTCTTTCAGACCTTTTCAATACATGTGGAGCATACACACAGTACTTCATGTGCTTTACCATTAACAAGCCAGCAACACCAAAACTGCAAACATAGTTTTGTGTATACTGAATGGCCCTGTATTTAAATTACTGATGTTTAGAGCAGATTTATGGCAGACATTCACTAAGTTGTCCTGGCACAGGACACTTGAATCACTGATACTCTTTTAAGGATCTCCTTGTTCTTTCAAATCCAGTAATTTGTGGCTAATGGAATTAATGTGGCTTTTTAACTCCAGCAGCAATAGAACCAGCACAAGCCTAGAGGAGACATAGCATTCAACTGTTCCACTACGAGAATTTCACTAAAGCACACTGACTTCATTCCAATTCCTTTGTGTGGAGCCCAATATTAGTTCAGCCTTGCCAAGAAGGTAGAAAGTAGTTAAAAAACTTTATTTGTGATCATAAAAGTGCTGTCAACATCCCAGATATGAGCAGCTACATCTCTGACATGTCAAAATGACAGAGCAGGTACTTTAGAGACCACCACACCATCTTCCTGTTACAGCAGCTCTCAGATTTACATCCCCTTTGCCAGAAAGAACTGCAGTGACAGTTTCCATAAGTTTCACAAGAAATGGCTTTTGCTGTACTGAAAGGAAACCATCTGAAGTCTAGATTTCAGTCTGTCTGCTTCCAGTTCTTGAAAAAAGGTGTCATCATCACTTTGCATTATTGCTGCTTGCAGCTGCTGTATTTCCTTTTCCATCTTTGATCTCAGTTCTCTTTTTGTTTTCTGTAGCATCTAAAGAAAATACAGACATTAGCTACAGCATGTGAAAAGAACAGATCATTATAGAAAATTCCATATACTTACTTGTGCTTGTGCTTTCTCTCTGGTTTGGATTTCTTGGCGTTCTTGAGATAAAGCTTCTGCTAGCATGGAGAACTAAACATAACATGTGTTTGAGTTGAAGCAATTAAGGGAAAGACTTTTAATGTAAAAAATACTGTCTTTGAGGCAGGTCAAGCTTTACCTGATCCTTGTAATAGTTCTCCATAGACTCCAATTCATTTTGATGCTCTTGCCTTTGCTCAGCACGCTTCTCTTTAGCGTACGCTCTCAGGTCCTTCAGCCTTTGCCTCTGAATTTCTAAGCCTTCTTCAAATAAGTTTTTGAATATCTGTCAGCAATTTAAAAAATGAAACCTAAGACTTTTACCAGAAATTGCTAAGTATACACTTACATACATTATATACATTTATAGTTGCTTTATCTCCTGACAGAAGGGTGGTCACATGAAGGTAGGTCCCTGCCCATGAAGTACAGTTACATACCTAGTAATGGTCAGACAGATACAGCTCAGCTCTATTTGTATAACTCACTTAACTGAAATTGATAGATAAAATAGTTTTTTCATGACAGTTTAGTCATATGACTAAGAAGGGGGCTAGAACAGCAAATGTACGTTACATTTATAAAATCATTTCAGACAACCCAGCAATGCAAGCCAGGATCTTACCCTGCATTATATTATCTCACATCATGATCTTCATCCAGATTTCCAACAGCAAAAACTCTAGCCTGTACTCAGGCTTTCCATTTATACACAAGAACACTTCCCAGCTACAGTGCAACTTGAGGCAAACAGTTCTCAAATCACTAATAGTGGATTATGCACTAAACTTCTGGCCTTCTTTTTTAAAAGGCAAGAATTGTGTATCTACTCTTGCAGTCTAATCTTAGCTCTGATGTCCAACCCTAATTAGAGACAGTATCTGTCAAAGGCCACTTCAGTTAAAGAACATAACTGGATAACAAAGTTTTTTTTATCAGTTTTCTTAACTGAAGATTTAGATTGTTTTCTTTGGATAGTAACTGTAGGAACAACTTCTTAATCCTGCTGTTTCTGAAAACTCATTTCCCTAATTTCTCATGTTACCAGCCCTGTTTTTCCATACTTCACCCTTTCTCTCCTTCTCT